TTTCAGCGGGTATTATGAATTTATTTATTTTTTAAGTTAGGAAGATAGCATGTATATTAAAGGGATACTCTACTGGTTTTTCATATTAAACTATGTTATTCCCTTAACTAAGACGAGTTGATACATACCTCTCTCGTCTCAGTGCGTGCACTAAATCGCTGTCTTGCGGCGAAACTTTGTTAGATCTTATCTCAGCCCTGTTCATTCAATACGTGCCAAGAAGAGAAGCGACCAAACACCTCCACGTTTTCCCTATTTAAACACAGTTACTAGAGTAGTGTAACTCGACCAAGAACGGTGACACAAAATAAAACGTTGCGCTTTTCTAAGCGTGTACAATGGATAACTATATTGTATGGCAGAATACCATAGCAAGTGCTTGGGAGCACTTCGACTCGGCGCAGTAATATCATCACTCGTGAAAAGTCCGCTCCCGTTGAAATGAGAGGGAGGAGGAGAGGACTTTTCACGGAATAACAGTTTAATATGAAAAACCAGTAGAGTATCCCTTTAACTCACCGGCCGTGGCTGCAGCCTGCAATAGTGTCCAGATTGTCTCGCGAGTCGCCACTAACAGAGGGACGGTGACCCAGCACACTGTCCATCAAGTCGAACCATGGAATTTGGAAAGTTCCTTCTCTGAGCTCCGCTTTGTCCATTGTGCGTTTGAATCGCCTTGTACAATACTGCGCCCGCAACTTTTTTTTTCCTAAACTTGAAGCGTTGCTCGCTGAATGCTTAGCTTAGAAAGTTCAGCATCGATGTATTTTATAACGTCTTCGTTTCTTCACACGCCGTCAAATTGACGTTGTACCCTTTCTTCTGCCCAAATGCTCAGAAGAGCTTTGGTATCTTCGACAGACCAGTACAGGCGATTCACCTTTTCGAGCAGCGATTATTTTGCGCGATATAAAAAAGTGAAATGTGCATCTTGCTTCAGATCATAACGTTCCATAACACCGATAAACTCCGCCTTTTACCTTGAGCACGCCTCTAGCCCGAGCTGGCCCGCTTTGGCCCAAGGTATTCGACGGGCCAGAAATCCTGGCCGTTGGACCCGAGTAAGCCCCGATCAAGCCCCGGAAGTGACAGTGGAAACGCGACTGGCTCTAGCACGCACTAGCACGGCTCGGCCCTGGCCCGGCAGTGGAAAGGCGGCTAATGAGAGAGCTGCGGCTTATAATAACGTTCAGTTGTAAGTCATTTATAATTGGTTAGTTAATGATGAACTAAGGGTTTACAAAACACTCATAAATGATTAGCAAGTGATATACTAACATTTTATGAATGTTTTGTAAATTGTTACAAGTCATTTACAAGTGATTAGTAAATGATTAAGTAAATTTTTTATGAAACATGATTATGCGTTTCATAAATGTTTAATAAGTGATATGTTAATTGTTGTATGTATCATGTTTTGTAGATTCAGTTATAAGTAATTTACAATTGCTTAGTTAATGATTAACTAATCATTTACAAAACATGAACATGCGTTTCATTAATGTTTAATAAAGGTTTTATTTTCTCCCTACTCTTACAAAATTACAAACAACCAGCCTGAAAAACATGTTGTATGAAGACTGTTTAAAACACCCCTCCTAATCCTCACAGAATTTGCAAGACAATGTCTATAATAAATAGTGTGTGTAATTTCTTCAGTACCGTCAGCAGAACTGATAACGTCTGGGCTTATGCGGTCTTCCTTAATTTGGCCCCAGGGCCCGTTTAATGTTTAATACCGGGTTTTGGTACCTATCCCTACGTATGGGTGAGTTAATATGGATGAAGGCCTGTTGTGTTCTATCTCTTGGTTTGTGATATTGGGAAACTCACCTTCGTCATGTACTGAGTGTGGATGGCATCAAGATCTGGTCCTGAAGAATCACAGGGTCAAATGATTATATCTCATCTGGTAACAAGAGCATAGCCATAACTTTAAAAACTCTAATGATATCTTTACCCCCTGATATTGCATTGTGGATATAAATTCAAACATTTTAAAGGCTAAGAGTATGAGCCATGAGTAAACTGGCCAGATATCTGTGAAAAATAACTATGCCTAAAGTTGTCGACTCCCTGAATTCAGCATTTAAAAGTAAAAAGAATTTCAGTATTTATTAATAAAAAAAATATATATATCTTTGAGTTGGACAGTATGGTGTCTGTCTCATTGGCCAACATAGTTAAAAACACACCTAGAGAAAAAAAATATATATAAACACCAATGACCATGATTTCCTGTTATCATAATAGTTAAATTAATTATTATAACTATGACCATTATAACATTATATTTGCCGCCTATTCAGCCTTCAGGCTTCTCAGGGACGACATCACTGAAAAAAACTGGGGTTAATGAATGTAAAGTGTGAGACTTCATTAAAAAGCATAAACCTACAGACCCCCAACGTTTGAACAGTATGTTTGAGGTTTTGCTTACTAGTCGAGTTCATAGCCGCACGGAGGTTGTCTTGGACAGGGGGTGCAGCAGGCCATCAGCATGATGATCTTCTAGAAGATTGATAATAAAAGTGATTTCAGGAGGGACAGAAAAAAAAACCCTCCACAACAAAGGTTCTAGATTAGAACATAACATGCAATGTGTCACAGAGCCAAAATTGTTACATAGGATTTACAATAGAACAAAGGGTTTATTACAAGGAAGCAAGCTAGAGATGAAATGCAGAAAAGATAAAGAATATATATATATATATATAATCTTAAGGTAATATATATTGTGCAATAAATGCATATGAAATTATTATCATGTTTAAACAATAATTCTCCCTTTGTTGTAGAGGTTTTTCAGGGTTTTACCAGCAAAACAAAACTATCAAAAACTGTTATCAACACAAAGATGTGGTTAAAACCCCAAACTTATGTAAAACAAGAGCTCAAATGTAACGTTACCTTACCTTAGCTAGCTGCTACCTATTCTGAAAACGGTTGAGATGCTAACGGACTTTTTCGAAGACACAAAACCATTTCTATAAAGTAAATATTCAACAGAAGCGTATCAATTATACGTAAGAAAGGTGTCAGGAACGTTTGTATGTATTATTTGTGTGATTATGTTAACTAAACTTACCTGAAAGTAGCGAAAACAACAGCGAGAGACGCTAGTTTTGCTTTTTGTCAGTTGATGAGGTTTCCTCGTTTCCATGGTTTCCATCTGCTCGCGTGCGCTCCTGTCTTTGAATCAGACAGCTTTGAATGCGACTCAATGTTTACGCGCACGCGCATTGAAACCATAGAACAATTCAAAAGGCACACAGCATTTAAACATCTAGAAATACAACATTTAACATTTTAAAATATCATTAATTTTAAATCATGAATTTAAAAATCATTGTGCAGTTCTATGACCAATGTTTTTTTTTGTTTTTTTTGTTTTTACATTAAAAGAGAATATGAAAGCACTAAACACTGCTTTATATAAATTAAAGATGGTAATGAAATTACGGTCCCGTGACGTTGCAGTTTCGTTTGTGTCTGATTGGTCTCAGTCGTTACATCAGTGATATATTTATTAGTATCAACAATATATAATTGTATTATAATAAATATACATCACTGATGAATACCAAAACAAATCAGTAACCCATTTGCATTGTTTTTATTGTGACAAATAAGTTAATTTTATTTAATAAATACGGTAACACTTTATATGCAGTCCATGCTTATAATGAATTATAGCACCATTTATACTTATTTATGAGCAATATTACTATTCTATAAATATATTTATAAAGACTCATTAAGACCTACAATATATATAGCCTAGTTACATCTATATTATTTTTTATAATTCCTTATAAGTCACAAATTTGTTATTTTAAATGCACATGCTCATAATCCATTATGTGCAGTTTTAGTTAATTATGGACTGTTGAATGAAATAACATTTATGACATATTACGGGATCGTTAAATAGTTTGATTAAGCATCTAATCTTAAACCTTCTAATCTTAAAACATATGACTGTTAAACAACTTAAAACAATGTACCGTTATGGTGAGTTGCCCACAGTAAACCCTCATGGGGGCCCCATAGTGAAAAACAGCTGTGGGCCCCGCATGGGCTAACCCACTGGGGGCCCATGTGGGTTTTCTGTGGGCAAACCCACAGTGGGTTGCCCACAGTAAACCCTCATGGGGGCCCAAATGGGCAAAACTGCTATGGGCCCCGCATGGGCTAACCCACTAGGGGCCCTTGAGGGGTATATGTGGGCAAGCCCACTGTGGGCTTGCCTTCAGAAAGCCCAAATGGGGCCCCAAAGGGTTTGCCCTTGCCCACACTGTCCCACAGAAAACCCACACTTGCCCACAGTGGGCCCGCACTGGCATGTTTGCTGGGAGGAGTTTAGACCTGGAATATTCCAGGCAGAAGAACTAAGAGATTTCATCAGAAACTTTATAAATAACATGTATGGTGTGTTTGCTATTTTGAGAAAAGAGAAATAATGCAAAAATTACAATTCAATTCAAATAAAATACAATTTTTTTATTTTTTTTTTACAATTCTCTCTCTCACACACACACACACACACACACACTGCTGCTGAATGTAAGTTTCCCCCCGGGGATTAATAAAGTTGACCAGGAACTGGTCAGGGATCCACAGTCTCATGCAAGGCTGAGAGATGTTGTCTATGATGAAGTCAGCTTAGCTCACGTCTCCTCGATGGTGTCCAGAGGACAGTCCAGGATAGAGCTGGCCCTCTTTACCAGTTTATTAAGCCTCTCTCTCTCCTCTCAGTGCTTCAGCTCCCCAACACACACCGCATGAAGAGCGCAGAAGACACAGTGTCACAGAGAGTAAAAAAGACGCGAGTGCTTAACGCAAAAAACAACAACATAATTTACCACTTTATTTACAAAATATTAATCTCTAACGCTCGTTAACGCAACGTATGCTCTCACACGCATGCGCCGTGGTGCTCTCGTGAACGCGCGTCTGTTTACCTCACTCTCTCTCGTCAGAAATATAAAGTGAAAGTTAGTTCTCCTGTCGCTATTTTGAGCAGGAAAAATACATATACGACACAGAAAGAACAGAGCATCAAAGTGTTTATCAACGTTTAAGAAGGAATTTCCGTTTATCTTTACAATGTTAACGCTGGAGGGTTTGAGATCCTGTATCTTGTAAAAGTTTGATCAAGGTGTGTTCATGTGTGACTTTCTCATATTAATATGAATCTCTGGAGGACATTTTACGTGATTGTTTGTTTGATATAAACTCTTTAATTAAGGGTTTCTTTCACTACAAGGTTTCTTTTGTGTTTCGTGATGTTTGTGGTTCGGAGTTTGTTTGTTTTTTCACCCAAACATGTTCAGCGTTTCTCGGTGTCCGTTATTTTTCATAAATTCTAAATCAAACGGCCGACTTGTTCGTTGGTGTTTGTCTGTAATTATGAGCTTGAGTGAACGCACACTCTCAGAAAAATAGGTACAAAAGCTGTCACTGCGGCTGTACCTAAACAAAAGCTACACCTTTGTACCTAAAGAGTGCATATTGGTCCCTCAAAGGTACATATTGGTACCAAAAGTGTATTAGTACCTTAATTGTACATATTATGATATTAGAACCCTTTTGAAACCCTTTTTGTCCCAGTGACAGCTTTTGTACCTTTTTTACAAAAAAGATTTTCTGAGAGTGCAGTCACACAATCATTTTTCTCACACACTCCAGACATGTCCAGCTACATTATAAAGGTTGTTATATTTAATAATTTATTGTGTCTGAATGTTTCTTCATCAGAGTCAGTGGAGGAGATCAAACTCATCAGATTCTCCTGCATCTTCATCATGGCTGATTCACAAGCATCCAGAGATGGAGATTTCTCTCCAGGACGCAGGTACTTTCAACAAACACTGTTAAATATTGTGTTACATCACAGAAAAAGAGTTACCCAGCCCACAGACACACAGAGCAAAGAAAGTTTACAGAATTTTTATTTTTATTTTTTACCTATTTTTGCCTGTGTTTTTGTTTGGAAATTAGCATGAAATATAAAATAAAAATATCATAAAGTTTCTTCAAAGTGTTTTTTTGATGAAAAATGAATGTGTTTATATTTATATGGTTCCTACACCGTAATCTAGAGCAGTGGTTCCCAAACCTGTCCTGGGGTACCCCCAACACTGCACGTTTTCTTTGTCTCCCTAATTAAACACACCTGATTCAACCCATTAGCTCATACTTACATGGGTTAATGAGCTGACGAGTTGAATCAGGTGTGGTTTATCTTTAAAGCCATCCCCCCCCCTTCTTGTCGGTTATTGGCTGGAACAGTTTGTTATGTTTAGTGGCGCGGGTTAGCTACAGTTATTATTGCCGTGTGTGGAGCCTGGGGTGTCTACACAGACAGCGTATTTTTACAGTGTGTTCAGGGGACAGCTAGCGGATAGTGAGGAGATGTTTGCTGTATGTGACAAAACAAGTTTTGTCCTTAAAAACGTGTGACATTGCTTAGAGCACCTTTAAGGGGGCTTTCACACTGGCAGTTTAATTCGGAACGGGGCACGGTTCGCATGAAAAATCGCTAATGTCAACCTATCATGGGGCCTGGGTGCACACTGGGGTCCCGAACCCGAGACTACCTGGAGGAGGTGGTCTGAGTTCGGTTGCTCCCGAACCGAGCCGCGATCACGTGAATGTGAAAGCACCACGGACTCGGGTGCGCACATGTTCAGGAAGTAAGGTAACCTGCGCATGCGTTTTAGCTTATTGTGAGGCCATCCTTAAAAATATTCTTGTTTGCTGTAACCCGAACGACCCTGTCAAATTAGGACCGACCCAATTATTTTATTTTTTTCCCCTTTTAGTCCGACCGACTTGCCGGTTGTAAACTTGCATTAAGACCGACCAATTTTTTTTTTACTCTTCAAACAACTAATACAAATGCAATAAAATAATATAAATTCTATTATAGTAAGTAAATATAAATTGCGTAGGCTATGTTCTTTCTTTTAAATAAAAACCCGTGGCGTCATCTATGATGATTATGTTTACACCATTGGTTTACGCATGTCACACTATGGCCTGTGCGTTCGCTTCGTTTCATTCACTGTCAATGGTTAGCGCCCGGTGATGATGGCTGCGGCGCGGCTGCTTGTGAAATACGTCTGTATGAGCCTACATTTAGTCGCTCATTATTCAAAATTCTTAAATGCACAATATGTATTTTTTCTGCTTTAAAAATAGCAAAAATAACTGTATCTTTGTTATATGTTTCTATGAGATATGTACTTACATTATCCCGACAGTTTCCACCAACTTTCAAATCCGGAGAACTGTATAGTTTAATTCGAAGACACGGCCCGTTTCTTTATTTCCGTTTTGTCGCCCGTCTATGGCGTCATATAACCTTTGACTCCTCTATTTCTCTAACTTCCTGCGGAACCCGGCGAAACCGCCAAACACAAAGGGGAACACCGGACTACCGCCAATAAAAGAAAAGAAAACGACGTAGAAAAAAAAAAGTAGTAGCTAGTATCATTTTGCAACTGCACCAAACTTGAGGGGGTTTGGCTGCACGCGCAAGATCTCTCGCTCGCTTACCTCTCTGACATCGTGCGCGGTTAGGAGCTCAACATCTGTCTCACATGCACGCTTGCTCTAGATTACAGGATATTTGAACAAATTTGCGGTAAAACTAATCGATCACGAGTGGCTCAACAGGTAGATCTATAGTTAAACTCATCCTTCTGGCTTTGCCCGACTGGGTTGACACTTATGAACCACGATTACGCTTTGCCTGCACGTTCTGCTGCTGGAGCCAGCTCAAAGCGCAGACGTTAGGGTGACCAACAGTCCTGACATGTCCTGTTTTCACGTTCTGTCCTGGCCGTCCTGGCTGTTTTAATAAAGTGATGAAAATGTCCTGGTTTTCAAAAAAACTGCTGGCCGAGTGTCCTGGTTTTTGGTAATCAAAATGTTCACCCTAGCAAACATACGGGTGAAAAATATGACCCGAGAAGTGTTTGGGACAGGAGAAGAAGCATGACACGGGTAAACTGTAGGGTTGCGTTTAAAAAATGTAGAGAGTTTTGTGACAAGCTAAATATAGCCTAGGCTACAGAGAGATGCCGATCTCGCTTGCATTCTAATAAACAGGTAAGCACCCATTCAGCTAACTATATCTATCCGTATATTTTGTGAAATGATGTCATGTGTAAAACACAGACGGGCTAGCTCTCATGTAGCTGTAAATTCATATTTGTTCTATATATAGCTGGAGAAAGTAGCTTTATATGCAGTTCACTAACGTTATCTTGTTCGATATCATAGTATAAACGTAATTAGATTTTTAACGAAAGGTGACCGTGTTTTTTAAACATCTATTAATACTAGCTAGATGGAATATTGATTCAATAGGGGTCTGATAATTCATATCTCTCTGTCCGAAAAGACGTGATTATCAAAATACATAGTTAGAATGAGTGAGGAATGTGGGGAATGACAGATCGCGCGTGTTCCAATGAACATCGTTTCGCTGGTTCGCGCGCGCTCTCCCTCTCTCTCTCTCTCCCTCAGAGGGCTGGTTGTCATTGACAGCGACAACAACTCCCGTGAGCCCACGCTCTTTCCCGACGTCATCAAAGTACGTCTTTTGTTATTATTTAGCTCGAGTGCCCCCTGGTGGCCAAAAATTACATACTGTACGTTTAATGGTCAAATAGGGAATAGGGATTCGATGTTAACGGCCTTTTCTCGGAGCGCGTCCAGCTCGTCGCGGTCACAATATACCCGCCGCGAACGCGCGTCACACAGCAACTGCAGGCTCTGACAAACGAACACACATAAGTATGAGAAGCCAAACACACCGAAAGTGGGACGAAACGGCGCGGTTACAGAGTTCGCGCTGCGCTGACATGTAATCTGCGTGGCTCAATGGGCCGAGCCGCGACAGACTCGACAGTGCAGGGAGGAAGTGTTTGCTTGTGCCACCCAATGGTCAGCGCGGCGCGAAATAATCTCACTAGCGCCGCGCTGACCAATAAAACAGCACATCCCATACCGAAATGTACTAAATTGCACTAAAGAAAATCGAGCATTTCATAATACGTCAGGACTACTTAATAGGCCTATAGTTTCTACAATGCGCCTAGCCATTTGACCACCTCACTGATTTCTGTTAATAATAGCAGAGAGGTTTATGGGTCAAATGTAAACGAATGGTGCCAAACTGCCAAATGCGCTGTTTTATTGGCCGGTGCGGGTGAGATTAGTCATTTTAATTTATTTGTTTCCCTCTGAAAATCCACTTTCATTGAAATCTAGTGGCTTCTTTTTTTTATTATTGATTCTGCCTATTTTTTTCTTAAAATGAATGCAGCTGGAATTAATGCAATAAATATGTTTTTTGACAAAGATTTCAAATTGTTTGTGGTCTATAACCTGTATCAGAATGAGGTTCGCAATGGTGCGCCCGAAGGCATGGGTTAAAGACCCAGTCAGTGACGTCACGATATGCAAATTTGTTTAAATTCATACCGACGTAATCACCATGAACAAAATTGTCCTTTTTTTTTACATTGAATCTTGAAAAAAAAAATATATAGACCTACCTACCGACCCTTTTTAAAAAAAGTTTTTTTTACTGTTACTGCAAACCAAAATATTTTTAAGTATAGCCTGATGTATTCAGTTAAATAAAACACTTGTACGGGATGATAGTTTTGATGATACACCTTGGATACGAGCGAGAGTGAGCCTGCAGTGTATTCGTGCATTGCTCGTGGAATCAGGGCAACAAATTTGGAAATCCACTGTCTCCTCAAAAGAGTCCGTTTGCAAGCCACAGAAGTCCACCTAATGTCACTTACACACACAGTAAACTTGTATTGTTCACTCAACTGCGCATAATAGCAGCGAATTAATTAAAAACACAATATTGACCCGCGTTCTGTTTTCTATCATGCGCCGTGCACGTTTGCGATGACGCAATATGCATGCAAACGCACCAGGGTTCGATAGAATCAAGTTGAGTGTGAAACCAGACCAACGCTGCAGGGGGCGCCAGGAACAAACGCGCTCGGACCGCAGCAAACGAGCCCAGTGTAAAAGCCCCCTAAGTTAATCTATAATTCTATTGTTGTTTTCGATTTGTTTGTTTTTAATTCCTAATATTACAGTTTTTCTCAGTCGCTTTTTAATTTTTTTTAAAATTAAGCTTAACATTTGCAAACCAGTAAGTTAATTTCTCAAAATAATTATAATCAAAGTTTGACACAGTGCGAAACGTCACTGAGTTACAGACGCTAAAGCAAAAGTGTTTCCTAAGACAGAAGATTCCTGTAAAAGTCCACAACATTTATAAGTCTGTCTGCTTTTTATTTTACTTAGTTTAAAAACCAGTTCAGTCCAGCAGAAGAGCTCAAACCCAGAGTCCAGCTGTGTGTCTGTGAAGAGTGACCGCTCTATGGATCATCCACTAAACTTCCCAATACATTTTAAAAGTGGAGACAAACGGCCTCTTTCTCTTTTTTATAAATCGATTTAAAAAAAAATTAAAGTTATACTTATAGTATTTGGTGTAAATTAATAAAAATTTCATAAAAATCAGTTTAATGAGTTACAATCCTGTAAGTTTCAGTCTATTATTGATTATCATTGTGCTCTGCAAAAAAGTCACATATATCTTAGCAGAAAGTTGAAAAATGTTGCGTTTGCTTTACACAAGAGCAGCCATTTCCCCTGTTGCCATGGGAACATTATGAAGTGACGTAATTACGCGACGTGAACATCATCGAAAAGCATAGACAGTAAAAAAAGCTGTAAAACAGGAAGCACACATTTTATATTTTTATATTTTATTTATTCATTTTTACAGAAGTTGTTGCATATTCCTTTTGTAAAGCTACAGAACTTGTTTGACTCATCAATGTTTTGTAAGTTTGAGCCATGTGTTTATTAAGGTCTGAAATAAAACAAGATGAGAACTTAATTCCCAGCACTTTCTGTGATGTAGTATGATTGCTTATCATAGGAAGTGATAAGAAATGACGCTTTACATTAAGGAAGTAGCTAGGGCTGCACGATATATCGAAAAATTATTGTTATCGCGATAATAGTATGCAATATCCGTATCGCAGAGAGGTGCAATAAATTACTTTATTTTCAGATATTCCAAGTCTCCCGGAAGTTCCGGAAGTCTCCCGCATATTGATAGCGGCTCGCTGATGCCCGCAAATTAGTTAAAATCTCCCAGAATCTAGAGCGAGCGAACAAGAGCGCGCATGCGAGACAGAACATACTGTGCTCCAACGGTAGAGAGGGAGAGAGCGAGACACGTTGCGTGTGTCTCTCATGAAGCGCATGTAAGACAGAGAGCATCCTGATTGGCCTGTACGTCTGAAATATGGCAATATTTTGACTTCAATAGAGAAGTGTCACAAATGCAGGTACTGTGTAAGTGGCCGTTCACATATCGCGTCTAAAAACGCCTGGAAAGCGCGGCCGCGCCGCTATCTCCTTCTTTCCACAAGCACTTGCGTCTGTCGTTTCTGCAGCCATGAACTGCGCTGAGGGCTTTCCATGATGACGAGAAATGTACTTCCATTTTGAGCGTGCTTGCCGCGCGCCTGCATTTGAAATAATGAGTCTCACAGACAACCATCAATCAAAGTTTTGCAAGTTTTACTCCTTCTGAAAAAAACCCTGAGATATTCTTCTGAAGATTAGAAGAATATATTTTAGCCTACCTGTTTATTTGAGTATGGTCATTACAAATAAATGATTTAAAAAAAAAAAGCTTAATAAAATTTTTATATCGTTATCGCAATACTCAACAACAATGTCGCATATTTTCCTTGTATCGTGCAGCCCTATTAGTAGCCTAGTGAGAACAGGGTGTTGGGGGAATAACTTTTTTCTCTCTTTTTCGTCAAACCGCAGTTTTTGCAAGTTCCCAGCAATTTTTGCAAGTTCCCGCAATTTCATCAAATGAAATTGCATAAATTTCCCGCATATTCCATCGTATTTTTTAAGAAAACGTGCCGCATAATCAAGGATTTTCCCCCGCAACAATCACAAAAAACTTCTTTACCCTCTTCATTCTGATTTAAGGTCAAATCTTCCATCCAGACCAGTTAAAAACAAAACTGTGTTCATGCCTGTGATTCAACCACAAGACTTTAATGAACGCATGTATCTTGGTTTCAGGTAAAATGCAGGACTTTTGTTGTTGTTGATTAATTTTAGATGCTGCAATTCACATCACTCAAACACATGATTAATAATTGACCTTTCGTGAAGACCCGCCCCCTTTAGTTACTGTTGCTATGCCCGACAAGCCATGACAACGCGCCGACAGAGAGGACCGACCAGGTTACTTTTGATATGAAACAAAGTCACAACTTTCAAATTTAAAGGGTCACTTCACCCATTGCAACATTAATCTTTATTGAAAGTGGGTCATATATGTAGTCGAAATGTAAAAGAAATTTTGAATTTGGTGCCCTCTTGACCGAGAAAAGACAGAAAATAACTTTTGGGCGCATTTGTATGTAAGAAAACAACTCCCACAATGCACCACATTTCACAGCTCCGCAAGCCACTCCAACTAATCCAGAACAGCGCAAACATCAGAGAAAAGAAATCACTCTTCCGTCTACAAGGCTAGCTGCCAAAAGAGTTTGAAATTCATTTCACACAAAATGTCTAGTTAGTTGGCTGTGGCGAGCAGGACGAGGACAAGGGACGTAAGAGGACGGCGCGAGGCCGGTGGCGCGAGTGATAATGAATGACACCTGTGAGACGCAGCGGTCTCATATCTCTCACGGAGGAGCGGAGGCATAAAAGGAACAGGCCTGATTTTATGTTATGTTTTGTTTGTTTCTGTTGTGTGTGGCCAGCTGGCTTATACTTTTGTTTTGTATTTGTTTATTTTACTATTAAAATGATTAAATGTTCGCCGGTTTCCGCCTCCTCCTTCCCACAACGACGAACCCATTACATTGGCAAACTCATTAGCGAATTACTCCTCGTTTGTATTTCTTTCTATATGGTGAATTATTGCATGCTACCTGGATGTTCCAGTCAGAACATATGCGGTGCGAAACTAGGATGGTTCACATCACAACACAAACGTCCGTGTGCTCGTCTGATTCAGAGATTTCGTCCAGGAGAAATTGCCATCGTTGAAATTCTCTGCAGCAGACAGACTCTATCTGTGTCCGTAGCGCACAGCAAGAGCACAGGCACCAGCAGTCCGCCTCAGCTCGAGCCAGTCCGGGCTCCTCGTCCGCCTCCTGTTCCTCCATCAGCCTCAGCTGCTCTTCACTATACTGCGGCTCGTAAAGATAGCCACGAACATCGGATTCTTTCAAAATCCTCTTCTTCCATATCATGTTTAGTTTCTTCCGTCATTGTCATAACTTCCTATCTCCACAGCGCTTGTTAGCTTAGCTTATAAACAAGATGGCTGATATTGATTTCACAAGGCAAGTCCCACCCATTGATCTGTGATAGCTCTGTTAGCGCATTAGGTCCAGCCTCCTATGGGCGGGTTTGAAAGGGTGGGAACTAGTGCTGTAGTCTTTACAGAAATCCCCCCCTCTTACACTTCCTCCTACAATGACGTAAAATGACGATTTTTGCGTCATTGTAGGAGGAAGTCGAAAAGGTAAATAGTGGATTTCTCTCGTCTCAGGGGAAAGAGAGAGTGTTGCACGACCATTCAATAGTATGACTGGGTTTCTAACAATGGAAAGCTTAATGCAAATGGGTGAAGTGTCCCTTTAAACAATCAATGCCGTTTTGTGGCTCTTTACTGTGTCGTGACAGATCGCTGTAGAGCCTCAGTTGAAGCTACTCGTGAACAGATCATCTGTTCCTTCTAGTTAATATATAACATCAAATAAACATGAATGAACATCAGAATCAATGTTGTTTCAACCGCAGAAAGACTTCAGTACACACCATTTTTCCACCTCTTTGGACTACCTCTCCTGACTGCTTTGTTGGACAAAAATAGCGGATTATGATTGGTGAGATCGCCTGTAAATCAAACTCCCAGCGAAGGGTGAATTGAAATATTTCAGAAACCTAATGATGTTCTGTGTCCCATTATACAGCTAACAAATAATATATGTTGTAATTTATGGCTATTTACTTCTCTGACTTGTGTAATAATGTGGTATTTTAATCTTACAGCCATGACTCTAAACCTGCTGAAGTCCTCAACACATTGAGATCAAATCTGAGACAGAAGTTTGAGTGTTTGTATGAGGGAATATCAAAGCAGGGAAACCCAACACTCCTGAATGAGATCTACATCACAGAGAGTGAAAGTGGAGAGATCAATAATGAGCATGAGGTGAGACAGATTGAGACACAGTCCAGGAGAGCAGAAACAGAGGACACACCGATCAAATGCAGTGACATCTTTAGACCTTTACCTGGACAAGACAAACCCATCAGAACTGTGCTGACAAAGGGAGTCGCTGGCATTGGAAAAACAGTCTCTGTGCAGAAGCTCATCCTGGACTGGGCTGAAGGGAAAGAGAATCAGGACGTCCAGCTCATATTCCCACTCGCTTTCAGAGAGCTCAACTTGATGAAGGACAAAACACTCAGTCTCTCAGATCTTCTTCATCTCTTCTTCCCTGAAAGCAGAGAAATGGCCATATCCAGTGATGAGTATAAAGTGCTGTTCATCTTTGATGGTCTGGATGAGTGTCGTCTGTCTCTGGATTTTCAGAGCGATGTGAGGTTGTGTGATGTGACTGAATCCGCCTCAGTGGACGAGCTGCTGACGAACCTCATTGTGGGGAATCTGCTTCCCTCGTCTCTCATCTGGATCACCTCCAGACCAGCAGCAGCGGATCTCGTCCCCTCTGAGTGTGTCCATCGAGTGACAGAGGTACGAGGCTTCAGTGACACACAGAAGCAGGAATACTTCAGGAAGAGAATCAGGGATCAGAGTCTGGCCCACAGGATCATCTCACACCTGAAGTCCTCAAGGAGCCTCTTTATTATGTGCCACATCCCAGTGTTCTGCTGGATCTCAGCCACTGTTCTAGAGGAGATGTGCAGTGGAGCAGAGAGAGGAGAGATTCCCAAGACTCTCACTCAGATGTACACACACTTCCTGCTCATTCAGACCAACATCAAACATGAGAAGGACTATGAGAAGAACGTGAAAGATGAAGACATGATTGTCAAACTGGGGGAACTGGCGTATCGGCAGCTTGTGAAAGGCAACCTGATCTTCTATGAGGAAGACCTGAGCGAGTGTGGCATTGATGTGGCAGAAGGATCAGTTTACTCAGGATTGTGCACTCAGATCTTCAGAGAGGAGTTGGGCTTGTGTCAGGGGAAAGTCTTCTGCTTTGTTCATCTGAGCATTCAGGAACATCTAGCAGCTCTATATGTGCATCTCTCCTTTATCAACAATAACATCAATGTGTTTGACCAGATTACCAAACCAACTAATGGAG